AATAAGAGGACACGCAAGATTTACGTGGTTCGACACAAAATTGTCTGCGTCCACAGGCTGCTGCAGATCTTTCACTAAGGGGAGATAATTTACAAACACTCACAAATACTCACACTTACATATCTGTGGACTCAAAAAATCTATGATTTTGGACCTTTTCGACAAAGTCACAGAATATCACCCTGCACAGAGTATTTTGTATATACTCAAAAATTTCTAACTTTCTATGAATTATAACTTATGGTTTTGGTCATTTTTGACAAAATCATAAATTATTGTCCTGCATAAAGTATTATATACGCACTCTAAAATTTCTAAATTTTTGAGGACTATAACCTATGATTTTGCTATTTTCGACAAAGTAAAAATATTATTTTGTATAATATTTTATGTGTACTCCAAAATTTCTAAACATATGTGGACTATAACCTATGATTTTGGCTATTTTTTACAAAATCTCAAATTGACGTCCCTTATGGAGCATTTATATGTAGTAAAAAAATATTTGATTTACTGCCAATGATAACCAATCATTATGGTCGCTTTTGGAAAAATCACAAATTATCGTCCAACATAAAGTTTTTTATATGTACTAAAAATTCTAAATTTCTTTGAACAGAAACCCATACTTTTTGTCGTCATCGACAAAATAATGAATTATAGTCCTGCATAGAGTATTTTATATGTACCATAGAGTCTTAATTTCTTTGGACTATAATCGATTATTTTGGCTATTTTCGACCAAGCTGCAAACTGTTGTATTTCATAGAGTACATTATGTGCACTCCAAAAATTCTAAATTTTAGTTGACTAGAACCCATCATTTTTTTTATTTTCGAAAAAATCCCTAATTATCATTTCGCATAGAGTATTTTGAATGTAGTCTAAAACTTCTGAACTTCTAGCGATATATGATTTTGGCTGCTCTCGATAAAATCGCTAATTATCATACAATATTTTATATACACTCAAAACTTTCTGAATTTCTATAACTTGTAACCTTTGATTTTGGTTGTGCTTTGACAAAATCACAAATTATCATTCTGCATACAATATTTTATATGTACTCTAAATTTCTGAACTTTTGAGGACTTGAACCCATTAGATTTGTCATTTTCGACTACATCACAAATTATCACTCTACATAGAGGATTTGATATGTAGTCCAAAATATTGGAATTTTTGTGGGTTAGAACCCATGATTTTGGCTGTTTTTAAGGAAATCACAAATTATCGTTCCGCTTAGAATATTTTATATGTACTAAAAATTTTCTTAATTTCTATAGTCTATGACATGATTTTGGTCATTTTCGACAAAATCACAAATTATCTTCTTGCATAGAGTATTTTATATGTACTCTAAAATTTTAGATTTTTTATGGACTATAATCCATGATTTTGACCGTTTTTGACAAAATCACAAATTATTGCCTTGCATGGACTATTTTATATGTTGTCCAAAATATTTGAATTTATGTGGACTATAATCAATAATTTTGGTCTTTTTCCACAAAATCACAAATCATCACGTATAGAGTATTTTATATGTACTCAAAAATCACAAAAATTATCATCTCACATAGAGTTTTGTTATATGTAATCTAAAATTTCTAGATTTCTGTAGATTATAACCCAAGATTTTGGCTGTTTCGACAAAAATGACATTATTGTCTCACATGGACTATTTTATATGTAGTCCAATTTTTCTTAATTTCTGAATACACCCAAGCTTTTTGCCAGTTTTGAAAAAATCACAAATTATCGCCATAATAGAGTATTTTATATGTCGTGCAAATTTTTTAATTTCTATAGACTAAAATCCATGATTTTTTTTCTTTTCGACAAAATCACAAATTATCCGCATAGAATATTTTATATATACTAATTTGTTTTTGAATTTCTGTGGGTTATAATCTATGAATTTGGCCATTTTTGACAAAATCACAAATTATCATCCAAGAGAGTATACTATATGTACTACAAATTTTGAATTTTTGTTGTAACGTTCGATTTTGTTGTTCTTTGAAAAAATAATATATTATTTGTAGCATAGATTATTTTATATGTATTCAAAATTTTTGAATTATTATTGACTATAACCTATGATTTTGGCTATTTTCAAGAAAATCCCAAATTATCATCTCCCATGGAGTATTTTATGTATAGTCCAAAATTTCTGAATTTCTGTGGACTACAACCCATAGTTTTAAACATTTTTAACAGAAGCACAAATCTTGTCCGGTATAAAGTATTTTTTTGTACTAACTTTTCTTGAATTTGTTTGGACTAGGACCAATGATTTTGATCATTATTGACAAAATCAAAAATTATCGTCCTCCATAAAGTATTTTATATGTACTCTAAATTTGTTGAATTTCTGTGGACGATAACCCATGATTTTGGCCGTTCTCGACAAAATCACAAGTTGTCATCGCACATAAAATGTTTTATATGTACTCTTAAGAAATCTAAATTTATTTAGACTAAAATCAAATATTTCACCATTTTCGTCAAAATCTCAAATTCCCATCCCGCATAGAGTGTTTTATATGTACTAAAAAAGTTCTTAATTTATGTGGATTATGACCTATAATTTGGGTCCTTTTTGACAAAATCACGATTTATCATCCCACATAGGGTGTTTTATATGTACTCTAAAATTTCTGAATTTCTGTGGACTATAAGCCATGATTTTGGCTGTTTCAGCTAAATCACATATTAATGTACTGCCTGGAAAATTTTATATGTAGTCTTAAATTTTTGAAATTTTTTGGACCATAATCCATGATTTTGGTCATTCTGGATCACGTCAAAAAAAAATTTTCCGCTTAGAGTATCTATATGAACACCAAAATTTCTGAAATTCGGAGGACTAGAACCCATGAATTTTGCTGTTTTTGACAAAATCACATGTTATCGTCCCACAAAGAGTATTTTGTATGTAGTCCAAAATTTATGAATTTTTGTCGATTAAAATCCATGATTTTCTGTCATTATTCAATAAAATCACAATTTATCTTTCCGCGTAGAAATATTGTATGTCTACTCAAAATTTTCTTAGTTTCTATGGATTATAGCCTACAATTTTTTATCATTTTTAACAAAATAACAAATTATCATCCTACGTAGAGTATTTTATATGTATTCTAATATTTTTGATTTTTTGTGGGCTATATGCCATGATTTTGGCTGTTTTCGAGAAAATCAGAAATTACTGTCCTGCATGGAGTATTTTATATGTAGCCCCAACCCAAAATTCTGAATTTCTGCCCACTATGACCTATAAGTTTGGTCGTTTTTGACAAAATCACAAATAATCATTCTGCATAGAGTGTTTTATATGTAATAAATTTTTTTACTGAATTTCTATGGATTAAAACCCATGATTTTTGGTGGTTGTCAGAAAAATCACAAATTATCGTCGGACATATGCTATTTTATATGCCCTCTAAAATTTCTGAATTTTTGTGGACTATAATTCATGAGTTTGTCTGTTTTAAACTAAGTTGAAAATTGTCGTCTCCTATAATATTAAATTTGAACTCCAAAATTTCTGAGGGCTAGGACTCATGATTGTTACCATTTTTGACAACATCACAAATCATCATCCCGGAAAGAGTATTTTATATGTACTTCAAATTTTGTGAATTTCTATGGACTAAAATCCACCAGTTATGTCGTTTTCGACAAAATCACAAATTATCATCCTGCATAGAATATTTTATATGTACTCAAATTTTTTTTGAGTTTCGATTATATATAACCTTTGATTTTGGTCATTTTTGACAGAATCATAAATTATCATCCTACATATAATATTTTATATGTGCTCAATTTTTTTTGAATTTCTATGGCTTATAGCCTTTGATTTTGGTTTTTTTTGACAAAATCACAAATTATCATCCCGCATAAAGTATTGTATATGTTCTATAAAATTCATAATTTTTTGGACTAAAATCCGTGATCTTGTCGTTTTCGACAAATCACAAATCATCATCCGCATAAAATATTTTCTATGCACTTTAATTTTTCTGAATTTATGTGTACTAAAACCCATGATTTTGGTCGTTTTTCGACAAAATAATGAATTATTTTTCTGCATCGTGTGTTTTATATGTAATCCATTTCTGAATTTTTGTGGACTAGAATCCATGATTTCTCATCAATGAATCTGCTTTAGAGCTTTGACATCCGATGGCATAACCATCATCTATATAGTTCAAGGTCACACAAAGAGAAAGCTAATTTCTAAGTCCTTTCTAAGAATAAATATAGTGGAGGAGATAGGATAATATGTTTTGTTATCGGAACATCATTCTTCTTCAAGGCATAAAATTTGTCCTGTAAACAGATGGAGTCACATTCACAGGTACAATTAATTCCTCTTAATCAAATTACTGGACTAACCTACCATTTTCATCATCAAGATCATGCTGTTAGGGGAAATCTTAGTAAATGTATTATCAATTGCCTGAGCATTATGCTCGACATAAGGCCTCGTTTCGTACGCTGGAATGGGTGAGAATAGAATGCTCATTCCTGCATACCAAACATGATAACTTTTTTGAAGCTAGAATGTTCGTTCCCACTTTTTGTGGGAATGAGCATTCCTAGTGAGTTGATAGGTAATGAGCATTCTAACTTAAGTGGGATGAAATAATTTGAATTATTAAATACCAAATGTGCCATTATTTCTTATTAATTATCCATACCAAAAATAAAATGATTTTTCTTTCTCCCTTCATCATGTAATCGTACCCAAACATGAGAATGGAAATGAGCATTCCATTCCCACACTCATTCCATTCCATTCCATTCCTTGCTTCATTCCATTCTCACTTGATCCGATTTTCGCTTACCAAACGAGGCATAAGTGTTTTGGGACAATTGCAACTTAAGTTTTGTACTTGAATCTTGAGATAAGATATGTAAGTGCTGATGGAAAATTATTGTTCTGTAACTTCTTTTTTAACTAATATTTTGTTGGCTATCGATGGCAGTCAAGATGGTAAATTTAGCTATGGTTATGCAAGTTCTCCTGGGAAAAGGTCGTCAATGGAAGACTTTTACGAAACAAGAATTGATGGCGTCGATGGAAAAGTTGTTGGGCTATTTGGAGTATTTGATGGTAAGATTTCCTATCAAGACAAGGATGGTAATTTTATTTATTATTATTATTATTATTATTATTATTATTATTTTGTGATTCTGAACAATGCAGATAGTTGGAGAACCTTGAACTTTATATTGCGTTTGTAATCTGTGAATCACATTGAAATTTACAGAATGTACATGTAACAGGCAATAGATCCAATTAAAAAAACACACACACACATGGTTCCAACTTACAGATTCTCATTTTTATGTCATATTTGCAAGCATTGAAATATTCACAATTATTTACATAGTTATTGTTCTTATTTAGGTCATGGCGGCGTTCGAGCAGCTGAGTATGTTAAACAAAATCTCTTTAGCAATTTGATCAGTCATCCAAAGTTCATTACTGATACAAAGTCAGCTATAGGTGCAGTTCTTTGCCTTGTTTCTGTGTTGATCGTACACTTATAGTTTGTGATATGACTCAATTAACATGTCTGTCTGGTACAATTTTTGTTTTCATGTTGGATTTTACTTGAGACCGAATTGGCTGTGTGTGTTACTTATTTAGTGCCTTCCAAATTGGATCAGTAAATCCTGATTTGAAAACAAATATTTGTGTTGGACAGGATCTTAAACCATGATCACTAATATTGGCTTCTTCTGCAGTTGAGGCATACAACCGCACAGACTCTGACTTTCTGAAATCTGATAACAGTCAGAATAAAGATGCTGGCTCAACAGCCTCAACTGCTATTATTGTTGGCGACAAGTTGATTGTAGCAAATGTTGGGGACTCCAGGGCTGTTATCTCTAGGGGCGGAAAGGGTAAGTTCTAATGTCAGTACTTTCATTCCATTAAAATTATCTTTTTGATCAATTTTAAGCGATGACATCTATTTGTCTTTCATGCATTAAAATAAGTAGGACATCACAACGATTAACATCTATTGCTTTGAATTACCATGATAACTTCTTTTACGAAAAGAAACCTAATTTACCTGTGAGACTCCTACTCAATGATGTGGTTGGAATTTGCAGCTATAGCTGTTTCACGAGATCACAAACCTGACCAAACTGATGAACGGCAAAGGATTGAGGATGCAGGCGGGTTTGTAATCTGGGCAGGTAAGGTACGCTTCTTCTGCGATGCAAATTTATTATGCAGGAAGGTTTGTAATTCAAGTATGTCTACAGGAACATGGCGGGTGGGCGGTGTTCTTGCTGTTTCTCGTGCATTTGGTGACAGACTTCTGAAGCAATATGTTGTTGCGGACCCAGAAATTAATGTATGGTTCTTGACGGTCATCAAAATGAATAATATACTATGGTTTAAGTACGTATGGCTTACACTGCCATGTATTAGCTATAAAATATAGCACATGTAGTGGGCTGTTGAAGTCTTCATATAGAAATTCAAATACATATGATTCTTTTACATTGGTGATCTAGTAGTGCCATGATGTGCATATCCTTATCTTCAGAAACTGAGATATGAAGACTATGCATCAAGTGGTTGCGGACATAAGAGGGCACCAATATTGCAATAAAAGTATTTATCGCGTTATGCTTGCTGTAGTGTGATGCTTCATTTTCATTTTCCTTTTTAACTTCTTTTACCATTTTTCTGGAGAGTTGCCTAGTGCTAGAGGGATTCTTACCCCCATTCTCTTTCACCCTGCAAGGATGCTTTAGTAGAGCTACACTTGTTTGCATGATGCATCTTGTTTCATTATGAACATATCAATGGGATAGCGTATACTAATGCCGAGTGGATGCCATCATGCCAATATGCAGGAAGAGGTCGTTGATGGATCACTTGAATTTCTCATCCTTGCAAGTGATGGACTGTGGGATGTTGTAACAAATGAGGTACTTCTAAACATTCCATCTTCACTTTCATGCATATTTGAAACTTTCCTAACCGTGTGGTTAGTATTTCCCGTTTTCAGGAGGCTGTTGCAATGGTGAAGCCTATTGAAAACCCGGAAGAGGCAGCAAAGAAACTGATGCAGGAAGCATCTCATCGAGGCAGCGTAGACAACATAACTTGTGTTGTGGTCCGCTTCTTAGACAAGCCAGAGTAGCAATGCCAAAAGTGAGAATTGATGGTTCTTGGAACTAATTCAAGCTAGCTCTGTCCAAACAGATAATTTCTTTTGGTTTTTGGAAGAGGATCTGACTTCAAATGTAGCAGAATTCATAAATCCTCTAGCCTTTTTGGCATATGTAATTTAATAGTCCTGTAGACTGATCCAATGCAATTATCTATCCCTGCAAACTGTTGTACTTGCTTTGCGTGTACTTTTATCATTGTAAAATATTGTTCAAAAGATGATGATGAAGATGAAGATCATTCACCTTTTCATATTTTTGTTACAATTAATCCAACGGCTCTCATTCACCTCTTCATATTTTTCTTCTCTTTGTTGGATGATGATGATGATGAAGATCAATTTGAAGGTTTGTTTTTATGATGCTAACCTTTCTTTTATTGTTAATTTTTTATTTTATTTTTTATCTCTGTATAGTAATTTATTTTCTCATTGCTTAGTAGTTTAGATTTACATTAATGTCTTGTGAGTAGATTTAGTTTCTTATCTTTATTTTATTTTACACTTTTAATTTGTAGAGTAGATTTATTTTCTCGCTTAATCTAGATTTTCATTTATTTTCTTTTCTTTTGCAATTTAGTTAGATTTATTTCTTTGTTCATAGTGTAAATTTCTTTGTTCTTATTTCTCTTCTTTGTGATTAGTTTTTATTCTTTTTCATTCTTAACATGTGGAACTAATCCTTATAGGAATCCTAGAATTGTATGAAGCAAGCCTAATTCCCTTTATATTGTGTGAATTATTCTTTTGCACTTAAAATGATCATGTATAGGATAATCAACTAGAGAACTAATTGGTAGAAGAAGAATTTGATAATCTATGCTTATCTTAAGTGGTTTGATAGGTTATACTTATGAATTCTAGGGTAGAAGAAGAATTTGATAATCTATGCTTATCTTAAGTGGTTTGATAGGTTATACTTATGAATTCTAGAATTACTAACTAGTTGTTGTTCTTTTTCATGAATATTAATTTTGCTTAGATGATAATTTGATATGTTATATTTTCCTTAAATGGTTTGATAGTCTATGCTTAATAAATCTAAAGTAAAATATGATAAAAAGAGAATGGTTCATAATTTATTATTGAAATTAGCTAGTGGATTCAATTCTAGATTCCTTATATCTTTAATTGAATCATTCATCTTTACTTTCTTGAATTTTTTTTATTCTTGATTTTTTCATTATTTTTTTCTTTCCTCTTGTTTTCTTTGATTCCTTTCCCTCCTCTCAATTTCATTTTATTGTTTTGCATATATTCATAACACTCTTCATATCTCTCCACAATCATACTCAATCATCACCCCTAATTGTCACGCACACAACATAAGAACCGATTCTAATTATCTCTTACAAACACCTTTCTCGTGGGAACGATAATTTTTTATACTATAACTTGATTGGTTGTATACTTGCAACCTTTGGACATCATTTAGACCCTATCAATAACCAACAGTTTTTGGACATTTTTAGTCATTCTGACCTATTGGTAAATAATTTTATGGAGTTTATAATTGATGATTTCATGAGCTAAAACCTGTGACTTGTGTCCACTTTTAGCCATTTTAAATTATTGGTAATTAATTTCGCGATGTTTAAAATTTATAATTTCACGAGCTACAACCCATCATTTTTGGCCATTTTAGTTGTTCCAAACCGTTGGCAATAATTTTGCATAGTCTAAAATTCACAATTTCATAAGCAATAACCATAACTTTTGGCTATTTTTAAACATTCCAACCCATTGGAAAATCTTTGGTTGAGTCAAATATACGAATTTATGAGCTATTACTAATGATTTTTGGCTATTTTAGTCGTATGACATGTTGGCAAATGACTTCTTAGAGTCTATAGTTCACGATTTCATGAGTTAAAAAGCCATGATTTTTGCCAATGTTAGTAGTTTCTACGCCTTGGTAGATAATTTTACAAAGTTCAAAGTTATCATTTCATGAGCTAAAACCCATTATATTTGGATATTTTTAATCATTTTGGCCCATTAGCGAATTAATTTTATGGAGTCCAAAATTCATGATTTCATGAACTTATATATAACTCATGATTTTTAGTCAGTTTTAGTCATTCTGACCCATTTGTAAATAATTTTGTGGAGTCTAAACTTCACGATTTATGAGAATATAACCCACGATTTTTGGACATTTTTAGTCTTTGTTAGCCGTTGGATAATAAGTTTATAGAGTCCAAAATTCACAATTTTATAAGTTTTAACCTGTGATTTTGGGTCTTTTAGTTGTCTCGACTAAAATTGCCAATTGGCTGGATCGACTAAAATTTTAGAATATTGTGGGATATAGCTCATGAAATTATAAATTTTAGACTCCGTGAAATTATTTATCAATGGGTCGAAATGACTAAAAACTGGCCAAAAATCATTGATTATAGCTCATGTAATCCCAAAATGTACGCTACATGAAATTATCTACTTATGGATCAAAATAACTAAAAAAGGTAAAAGGTCATGGGTTATAATCAAGAAATAATGTATTTTGACTCTCACGAATTTATTTGCCAATGGGTCAAAATGACTTAAATGGCCAAAAATCACGGGTTAGCTTATAAATTTATGAATTTTTGACATTAAAAAATTATTTAATAATGGTTCAGAATAACTTCAAATGACCAAAAATCATAGGTTAGAGCCTACGAAATCGTGAATTTAGGCCACCGCGAAAGTACTTGCCATCAAGTCAAAATGACCTATAAAATGAACAAAAATCTTGAGTTATAGCTTATAACATCATAAATTTTAGTCATTATGAAATTGTTTGCCAATAGGTCAAAACAACTAAAAATGGCCAAAAAATATGGGTTAACTCATGAGATCATGAATTTCACCTCGCAAATGGGTCAAAATGACTAAAAACTGGCAAAGAAAATTATGGCTTATAAGTTATGAAAACATAAATTTTAGACTACATGAAATTATTCGTCAATGGTCTGAAATAACTAAAAATGACCAAAAATTATGGTTAACCACCCATGAAATCATGAATTTTTACCTCTACAAAAATATTTGCTAATGGGTCAAAGAACTAAAAGTAGCAAAAAAATCGTTGGTTATAGCTCACAAAATCATGAGTTTTGGCCTCTTAAAATCTTTTTATCAACGAACAAAAATGACTAATAATGGCAAAAAATGTTGGGTTATATGTCATTAAATAATGAATTTTAAAGTTTATGAAATTGTTTGCAAATGGGTCGAAGCAAATAAAAATAGCCAAAACTTATGAGTTATAATTCATGAAATCATGAACAAGCCAACGCAAAATTATTTGCTAATGGGTCGAAATGATTAAAAATGGCCAAAAAATGTCGGTTGTAGCTCATGAAATCTTGTATTTCTTACTTTGTGAAGTTTTTTGCCAAGAGGGCAAAGCTAATAAATATGGCCAAAAATTATGTAATAGTTTATTAAATCATGAATTTTGGCTTTAGCAAAATCATTTACCAATGTGTTTGAACAACTTAAAATTATGAAAAATCATGGGTTATAGCTTGTGAATCATGAAATTTAGAGTTTAATTATTTGTCAGTATGTCGTAACAACTAAAAATGGTCAAAAATTGTGGGTTATAGCTTATAAAATTGTGAATTTTGATCTTCACAAAAATATTCGCTAATGGGTCAGATTAACAAAAAAAAATGGCCAAATATTGAGTAATATAGATCATAAAATCATAAAAATTGGCTTTAACAAGCTAATGTACTAAAATGACTAAAATTGACTTAAATACATGGGTTATAGTACACGTAATTGTGAATTTTAGACTATGCAAAATTATTTGCTAATGGGTCAAAATGATTAAACTGGCCTAAATATGTCGGTTATAGCTCATTAAAAGTTGAATTTTGGACTCCAAGAAATCATTTACCAATGAGTCAAAATATTAAAAATGGCCAAACTTAGTGAGTTATAACTCAAGAAATCATAAATTTTACACTCTGCAAAATTATTTTCCAATGGATTAAAAAGAATAAAATTAGCTAAAAATCATAGATTATGTCATTAAATTGTTAATTTTGGACTTTGTGAAATTATTTGCCAAAGGATCAAAATAACTAAAAATGCCCTAAAGTCATGGGTAATAGTTCAAAAAATTGCAAATTTTAGAATACAGAAAATTATTTGACAATGACTTGAGATGGCTAGAAATGATTTAAAAATGGTCAAAATTATGGATTATAGCTCATATAATCATGAAGTTTATCCTCCATAAAATTATTTTCCAATTGGTTGGATTGATTGAAAATGGTCACATTATGGTTTATATAGCTCTTGAAATTGTGAATTTTGGCCTCAACTCCACGAAATTATGTGCCATTAGGTTGATTTGAATAAATATGACAAATAATCGTAGTTTACAGCTCATGAAATAGTGAAATTTGATCTCTACAAAATTATTTGCCAATGAGTTGAGATGACTAAAAATGGCAAAAACTTATGTGTTATAGCACAAAAGATTGTGAAGTTTGGACTTCACAAAATACTTTCTAATAGTTCGAAATGATTGAAAATGACCAATAATAGCATTTTGTAGCTCATGAAATTGTGACTTTTAACTCATAAAATCGTGGTTTTTAGTTGTTGACGTCAGTTATCAAACATGGAATAATTTGCAGTGGTTTGTAGTTGTTGACGTTAGTTATCAAACATGGAACAATTTGCAAGTTGAGGGGTGGTTAAGGTCCTCTAACTCCTTCTGATGTTGTGCTCTGGGGTTTAATGTTCTTCCCTGCATAAGAAAGAACTCGTAAGAGGATGAAGTTGGGTTCTCCGGTTGTTCCTCCGACGATCAAGTCATTTGATAATCTTGAGTAGGGAAAATATAGGGTTAGCTCTTAGTTATGTAAAAGAGACCAAAGAGAGTTACCTCATGTAGTGCCCCTCCTTTTTATAGTGGATCTGAGGGGCAAGAAAGTTACTTAGACTAAGTCCAACTAGGCAGCTAAGTCGGCAGACAGCTAACAGGTGTTGGTCGTTGGTGAAAATGAGCCATCCATGTGGTCAGTGCTAAGTGACAGTGGTTGCTTGGTGCTGATGGTAGCCTGATAAGTCATAAAAACTTTGTTGACTAGAGCAGTAATGATTTTGTCAGAGCGGTTAATGCAAGGATAGGAGGTTGTCTGCACGGGGTTCGAGAAAACTACCAATTCTTTTAGTCATTTTTGCTAATGGTCGACTATAAGTATTGATGGCTGCTACAACGGGCCGAGTGGGGGTTATTCTCAAGGGCGATTGGCCAGGTTTGGACGACAAATACCGCCTTTTGACTCGGTTACGTGAGATGTCGGCTAAATAGTGGGCCAAGTCGTGTTGCATGACTAAAAATGGGGAAAAAATTCGTAGTTCATGAAACTGTGAAAATTAATGGACGGTAGATAAAGTGACTAAAAATGGAAAAAATCATAGGTTATATCTCATAAAATCATAGGTTATTATTCTCTGTTTGATAATTGACATCAACATTAGTTCATGAAACTGTGATATTAATGGACGACGAATAAAACGATTAAAAATGGATAAAAATCATCAGTTATATCTCATAAAATCATGAATTTTGGCCACCATAAAATTATTTATCAATGACTCCAAATGATTAAACATTAAAAATAAAAACATGGATTATAGCTTATAAAATTTTAAAGTTTGGCCCTTGTAAAATTATTTGCTAATGGATCTAAATGACTAATAATGAAAAAAAATCATGGGTTATCACTCACAAAATAGTGAATTTTAGCCCCCATAAAATTATTTGTCAATGAGATGTTATGATTTAAAATGGCTAAAAATTGTTGAATAGAGCTTATGAAATTGTGAATTTTTACCTTCATGAAATTATTTTCCAACGGGTCTAAAAAGAAAAATGGCTAAAAAGCATGGGTTATAACTCATAAAATTGTGAATTATTACCACCGTAAAATTATTTGACAAGGGGTTAAAACGATAAAAAATGGCCCAAAATTATGAGTGATAGCTCATAAAAATGTAATTTTTAGCCTCCATAATATTATTTGACAACGGTTTGAAACGACTGAAAGTGTCAAAAAATCATAGATTATAACTCATAAATTGTGAATTTTAGCCTCTGCAAATTCTTTGTAAATGAGTCAAAACAACTAAAAATACCAAAATATCGTGAATTATATCTCATGAAATCTTTAATTTTGGCCTCTATGAAATTATCTTACGTCGGGTCGAAATGAGTAAAAATAGCCAAAATTGGGGTTTATAACTCATGAAATTTTAAATTATAGCCTCCTCAAAATTTTTTGTGAATGGGTTGAAAAAACTTAAAAAGTGGCCAAAACTCATGGGTCATAGCTCATGGTATCGTGAATTTTGGCCTTTATGAAAATTTTTGCCAATGGGTCGAAATGATAAAAAAATAGCCAAAAATCACGAGTTATATCTTACAAAATTATAAATTTTAGCCTCCGTAAAATTAACTGTAAAATTAATCCCCAGTGGGCTCAAATGACTTAAAATGTCAAAAAATCATGGGTTATTGCTCATGAAATCGTGAATTTCGGTCATCGTGAAAGTATTTTGCCAATGTGTTAAAATGACTAAAAATGACCAAAAATCATGGGTTGTAGGTCACGAAATATTGAATTTTTACCTCCGCAATATTATTTTTCATATATCGAAATAACTAAAAAGGGCAAAAAATCATGACTTATTAAGCTCATGAATTTGTGAATTTTGCTCCCTGAAAAATTATTTTCTGATGGGTCAAAATGACTAAAAATGACCAACCATAGCAAGCTCATAAATCATGAATTTTGGCCTCTACAAAATTATTTACCAACGGGACGAAATGACTAAAAATGTTCAAAAATTGAGGGTTATAGCTTATGATATTATAAATTTTAGGCTTTACGAAATTATTTGTCAACGGGTCGAAATGACTAAAAAGGAAAAAAAATCATGGGTTATATAGCTCATGATATTATAAATTTTAGGCTTTACGAAATTATATGCCAGATGGTTGAAATGACTAAAGTTGGCAAAAAATTATGGGTTGTTTTCCTTGAAATTATACAAATTTGCCTCCATGAAAATACTCGACAATAGGCTGAAATGATTCCTTGAAGTTATACAAATTTGCCTCCTCATCCACTATTGAAAGAAGAACAGCGGACGAAAAGATGGAGGATTTTGGATGAAGGTGATGAAGCAAAGCCACGACAGTTGTTACACGAGGAAGAAGCTTCGGCTAACTAGCTGATCAAGGGCAAACAGCTTTGTTAATCAGAGGATACCTTTCGGGAGCATAATACCCTTACTACTGTAAAATCCTCGATCTCTCAACTACGTTTCGATCTGAAAATCTCCGGTATTCGATTTTTTTATTATTTCGATGACAATTCGACCGTTAACTCTTCATTAACAAATAACTTGTTTATATATGCATGCAGTATCAGAAGAACGAACTGGCCGAGAGGTTGGTCCTAAATCAGCCACGACAAGTCCAAGTTTGGTTTCAGAACAAGAGAGCGAGGTAATTATTAAACAAGGATAAATTAATATCTTAGGAGTAGTCATTTTATTATAAGGGCTTGTTTGGATTGAGGGGAATAAGGATGAAGGCAAGTTAGGGGAACCATTCACCTTATTTGGGAACACTTAGGAGGTGAAGTTAATTCACCCTAGTTCCCCTTGGTTCACCCCCAAATAGTATAAAATTTGTTACCCCAAATTGGGGTGTAACCAATGGGAAGGGAACTCCCTTCCCTTCCCTTCCATTCTCTCACCTAGTTTACCTTAACTTCCCTTCACCTCCTACAAATCCAAACAGGCTCGATGGCTAAATTTTTTTTATGAATAAATGTAAACTAAACTTTTTTGTTTCTCACGGGAGTAAGCTGAAGCGGACGGAAGTGGGGACTTCCAGCTGCTGAAGAAGCGGAGTGAAACTCTGAACGCGGAGAATAGCAGGATGAAGCAGCAGGCCGAGGGATCAGGGTCAGCGTTTCATCTCGACTTACCGAGAGTGACATCGGGGACCACGAAAGAAGACCCAATTTTTTTTTTTTAAATTAAAAAAAATTAAAAATTAAAAAGCAGAAGCAATCGTATAGTGAGTGTATATATACCTTAGGAGGTGAAGTTAATTCACCCTAGTTCCCCTTGGTTCACCCCCAAATAGTATAAAATTTGTTACCCCAAATTGGGGTGTAACCAATGGGAAGGGAACTCCCTTCCCTTCCCTTCCATTCTCTCACCTAGTTTACCTTAACTTCCCTTCACCTCCTACAAATCCAAACAGGCTCGATGGCTAAATTTTTTTTATGAATAAATGTAAACTAAACTTTTTTGTTTCTCACGGGAGTAAGCTGAAGCGGACGGAAGTGGGGACTTCCAGCTGCTGAAGAAGCGGAGTGAAACTCTGAACGCGGAGAATAGCAGGATGAAGCAGCAGGCCGAGGGATCAGGGTCAGCGTTTCATCTCGACTTACCGAGAGTGACATCGGGGACCACGAAAGAAGACCCAATTTTTTTTTTTTAAATTAAAAAAAATTAAAAATTAAAAAGCAGAAGCAATCGTATAGTGAGTGTATATATACTAAAGGGCTGGTTTTGAGGTTTTCCCTTCCCCTTTCCTCTTAATTCCGTTCGTCCCTTTTGCAAGGACCAGTCTTTACACGTAGTGTAATCGAAAGAACGCTTGACTTTTGATTTATTTATCATTTTATTCTGGAAATTTACTCACTAATGCTTGATCTTCATAAAATTTAAGCATAGCCCTCCCTTGGATGAGGTAGGGGGAAAAAAACAAATAAAGGACTCAAATAAAAAGTTGAAATCACCGAAAGTAAAACTACCGCCAGAAATCAAGAGACTACTACATGCGCGCGTTCCATGGGGAACCCTGTTTTGGCTCGAATATTGTTTGGGTACCCTTTGAGATAATCCCGTAAGCTTCTCCAATCTCACCTTACTCTCTTAGCACACTGAGCATACTTGCTCCTTGTAATTACATTCTGACTGCAGACTTAACAATATAATCCGTCCCGAAACCGAGGAGACGATCAACAGTTCACCCATCGCGTTAGCTAAAATAATAATAATAATAATAAATGATAAATTGATAATAGCAAATAATTGCATCAAAATCCGGGTGCTTTCCTAACCGTCAACAAAACGTACAAGGACTAAAAGAATCTGCAAGTTGGAGACAAAAACCGGCACGAGCACATCAATAAAAGAATGTGGCTGGTAAATCACAGTACGAACACTGCAATGTTGCAAGCTTAATACACACCCACCTTTTCTTGCATAGCATCAGGAAAAGCACCGCAACAGAGTACCTCTGATTTGCTAATCGAACCCCGCGGTTATAATAATCAACTTCCATCTTTTTCCACCGTCAAGCCAACTTCGGTACGCAACAAGCCTCCTCGTGATAGTATGATCTCCTTAACAAACCAAGAGTTATCAGCATAAGATCTATGCGTGTGTCTAAAACATCTGCTGAATAAGAGCTCAAATGGGGGGGTAAAAATCACATGATAGAATTATTATCCTACTCCATATTGCTCGTAAACAAGGGTAGCATATATCAACTCATTCCATGCATCTGGTACCCCAGGAAGGCACCAATGACTGCAATCCTGCTTACTTCTCACCTTTTGACCCCGTGTTTTTCCCTTACCATAGATTGATGGGTGTCCATCCTTGCGAAAGTTTGTCAATTTAGTTACATTCAGTAGAATTACTGGGGATTTCATTTCATTAATAACCTCTTCCACGATCTTCATCTTCGTAGGGTAGTCTTCTATTATAGCTCCACTAAAAGCAGGTTCGGTTTCTCCATTGCATGAGCCACCAGAGTCCCAACCTCCTCCTCTGATTAAGTAGAATGCAACAGACAACAGAAACTTTAGTTGTTTATTACATAATGAACAATTTACGTTCTAGACCTAAATATGGACGTAACATTTCACCTGAAATGAGCCGTTGAATACCCACGGTAGAATACCAGATTCTCTCTATCTTTCATATTTTCATCAATCCATTTACCCCAAGTTTTCATGGCTCTCTTAAAAGCTTCAAGCGCATCAAACTGTGGATAAATCATGCCACCTTCTTTATAATAGTTCTTCCTGATTGTAAAAGCGAATAATACATCAAACTATTTATAAAATATACTACTACAATTGATTAAAAGAAAGAGATGCAGGTTATTATAAAAGAAGCTTTCATTACCCTCTTGCTGTCTTTCCATGGTTCCACCAATGCCCTGTGTTGAAGACCAAGATGTTAGCCTTTTTCCATCTACTAGCTGACTTATCAACACGATCGATCTCAAGTATAGCATTTCTACTGCCTTGTCCATTCACATTTGTTCCTTGTCGGGCCAGAAAATGAGAGAGAAGGAACTCCACAGTACAGTTATAATCCTGTTCATAATTCCATTACTGTTTCTATATCCAACACATACTAAAAGCAGTAGGATGAGGCTGTATAAGCCTCACGACTATGTGATAGACATAAGCATCAGGATTCACTTTTTCTACTTAGAAGGCAAGTTGGAACAATTGAGACGGCATCCATGGAATACTAGTTCTATGGAGATTTGAAACATAAGCCAGCACTTTGCTCAGGTTGCATGAAGTTCAGCACATTATTGATTGACTATACTGTTAGAAAGCATATGGGAGTTGTGATTTCTCACCTCAATCAAGAAATTGAAATAGCTTCGACCTTTTGATATTTTGTATCCTCGGGTCTCATACATTTTGCTTTTATCAGGTACGGCTTCACGTAAAAGGCATAACATTGATTCAAACTGGTTGCGGTTCATTGAGTCTCCAACAAGCACCAACCTTTTGCCTCTTAATCTCTCCAAAAAGTCTGTTGCATTAAACCTATGAATCAAGTATAAGAGAAGGAAACCTAGAAATTTCTGCTAAATATAATGGATCTCGAAAAAAGAAAAAAAAACGAAGCACATAAAGAAGAAACACTGATAAAGGATGTATGACTTAGTAAATGTTACAAATGGAGATTACATTTTAGATGTCAAAATAATTTGAACCAAAAATCAAACCATATCCAAATAACTCGAAACCCAATAGCACTTCCCAGCTTCAACCATCCCAATTAATCTCAAGCTCCATTCTGCCTAACATGCTGAATATATGTGATGATGTTAAACTTCCGAGTACTAAATGCATCCTGCAACCAATACTGGCAGGCCGATAGTGTAGTTATTTGACTTTCCAACTATCTCCAATAGTATTTCTTGTCGGATCGCTATAGTAATCTTACTAAATGTTACACATAGGGAGGCAACAAAACAATTAAAACATCCCCAAATCATGTCCTAAGATTCTGTTCAAAATTTCCAAAGATGACATGTTAAGTAAGCAGGTAAACCCAAGAGTAGTCCCAGTGTGGACAGTTACATGACGCCAAGCATCCTTATATAATCAAAACATCCTTTTAAAATCCAAGTAATGTGTTCTATACTCTCGTCAGATTTCACTTTCTAATTTCTATTAATATCAGGTAATTTCTGAATGTAATTCAAACATTTGTATTACCCACCACAAAAATTTTGATTTGGTTGAAAACAGCCAAATCATGTGTTATTGTCCACAAAATTCAAACTTTTCAGAGTACGCAAAAAATATTCTATGTGTGACAGTAACTTGTGATTTGGTTTGAATTTGGAAATTTCGGAGTACACAAAGTATTCTGTGTGGGAAGACAATTTGTGATTTGATAAAAAATGGCCTCAATCAAGCATTGTAGCCCACATAAAATAAATTTTTTTGGAGCACGCACAATATATTCTGTCTGATAGAATTTTGCGATTTGGTCAGAAACGGTCAAAATCATAGATTGTAGCTCATAAAATCATGAATATTGAACTCTGCATAATTATTTGTCATTTAGTAAAAATAAGTAAAAATGAACAAAAATCGTGAATTATAACTCATGAAATTGTGAGTTTTGAAATCCGCATATTTAGTTACCATAAGGTAGAAATGAGCGAAAATGGACAAAAAATCATGGAATATAACTCATGAAATAATGAATTTTGAACGCCGCATAATTATTTATAATTGGGTTATAACGAGGAAAAGACAAAAAACATGAACTATAGCTCATAAAATCGCGAATTTTGAACTCCACATAATTATTTGTCATTAAATCGAAATAAGGGAAAATGGACAAAAATTGTGAGTTATATAACTCATGAAAACGTAAAATTTGAACTTGAGAAAATAATTTGTCCTTTTGTCAAAACGAGCAAAAACGGAAAAAAAACATATAGATGACAGCTTATGAAATCGTGAGTTTTGAACTCCACATAATCATTCGTTATTAAGTCGAAACAAGCGAAAATAAACAAAATTCTAGATTTTAGCTCATGAAAACGTAAATTATGAACTCGAGCAAATAATTTATCATTTGGTCAAAACAAGAAAAAATGGACAAAAAATCATAGAGTATAGCTCATGAAATTGTGAGTTTTGAACTCCACATAATTATTTGTCATTAAGTCAAAACAAGCAAAAATGAACAAAAAGAATGAGTTATAGCTCATGAAAACGTGAATTTTAAACTCCGCATAATTATAGCTCATGAAATCTTAAACTATTTGTAATTGAGTAGAAACAAGTGAAAAAGGACAAAAATCATGAATTATAGCTAATAAAATCGTGAATTTTGAACTCAGCAGAATTATTTGACATTTAGCCAAAACTAGCAAAAATGGACTAAAATCATCAATTATATCTCACATAATTTCACATTTAGTCAAAACTAGCGAAAATGGAATAAAATCGTAGATTATATCTCACGAAATTATCAATGTTCAAATCCACATAATTAATTATCATTTGTTAAAAATGAGCAAAATGGTCATAAATCATAGATTATAGCTCATGAAATCGTGAATATTGAACTCTGCATAATTATTTGTCATCGAGTCAAAACTAGAAAAATGCATAAAAGTCACGTATAACTCATGATATCGTGAATTTTGAACTCTGTAAAATTAATTATCATTGCATCAAAACAAGCAAAAATGGACAAAACCATGCAAGATCATGGAATTGGGAATATTAAACAACAAACAAATATTTCTCATTGGGTCAAAATGAGGGGAAAAAATGACGAAAATTGTGGATTATAGCTAATGAGATCATCAATTTTGAACTTTGCACAATTACTTGCCATTTAACAAAAATAAGCAAAAATAGACAAAAATTATGGATTATAAGCTAATGAAATTGTGAGTTTTAAATTCTGCAAATTTATTTGTCATTATGTCGAAACAAACAAAAATAGACAAAATTCATGGATTAAAGCTCATCATATAGTGAATTTTGACTTCCGCATAATTATTTGTGTTAGGTTAAACGGATAAAAATTATGGATAATAGTTTATAAAATCATGTATTTTGAACTCTCATAATTATTTGCCTTTGAATCAAAACAAGAAAAATGGGGGGAAATCATGGATTACAAAGAATTTTGAACTCTCAATAATTATTTGTCATTGAGTCAAAACAAGCGAAAAGGGACAAAAATCATCAATTATAGCTTATGAAATGTGAATTTTGAACTCCGCATATTTATTTGTCATTAGGTCGAAATGACAACAAATGAACAAAAAATGTAGCTCATCTCTCGGACACAGTATTTTGGGGGCCGTCTCTCGAACACGGTGTTTTGGGGGCCGTATCCGCGTTCAACATGTGTCGGACACTGATTCTTAGCGGACATGCCATGGACATGTATAGGTCAATGCAAAACTCGATTTCTCCAATACTTATACCCAAAACTAGTTTCTTTGGCAAAATATTGGGCTTAAAACCAATCGGTTTTTTAACGTAAAAACTAACTCTCATTACTTAAATATTTGCAAAATACCCATTGTATTATCCTATGTGATTAAAACTAAACTTTTGTAGTTAAACCTTAATATTACTTAGATTTAACTTGATTTCGAATTGTTGTAGATAATAAAAAGAAACATACAAATATTATATGTAGTTTAATATATATATATATATATATATATATATATATATATATATAGAGAGAGAGAGAGAGAGAGTTCTCCCTATATCCTGCATTTTACAAATTTGTCGTGTTTGTATCCATGTTCGTGTCTACACCTGCGTCTGTGCTATCTAGTAGCTCATGAAATAGTGAACTTTAAACTCTGCATAATTATTTGTCATCGAGTCAAAATGAGCAAAATTAGATAAAAAATATGAATTATAGATCATGAACTCATAAATTTTAAAATCTGCATAATTATTTATCATTTAGTCAAATCAATTGAAAATGGATAAAAATCATGGAATATAGCTCAAGAAATTAAGTTTTGAACTTTGCATTTCTATTTGCCATTATAATGAAACGAGCAAATATGGACCAAATTTTTAGATTATTACTCATGAAATAGTAAATTTTGAACTCCACATAATTATGTCATTGGGTCAATACGAACAAAAATAGATAAAAATTATGGATTATAGTTCATGATAACGTGAATTTTGAACTCCACATAATCATTTATCATTGAATAAAATGAGAAAAAAAAATTGGGGAAAATCATGTATTATAGCTCATTAAATCATGAATTTTGAACTCTGGGTAATTATTTCTCAATGAGGAAAACAAATAAAAATGCGCAAAAACTGCGGACTATAGCTTATGAAAATCGTGAATTTCTAACTACGTATATTTATTTGCCACTAGGTCGAAACTAGTGAAAATAGACAAAAATCATAGATTATATCACATGAAATAGTGAATTTTGAAGTCTGCATAATTATTTGAAATGCCCAAAAAAGGATAAAACTCGTGAGTTATAGCTTATAAAATCATGAATTTTGAAGTGCCCATAATCATTTGCCAGTCAACGAGCAAAATTGGCAAAAATATCTTAGATTATAGTTTATGAAATTTGTTGATGCTCGATATCAAACAGCCAATTAATCCAGAAAAGGGTTGTTGCGGGGTGGTGAAGGATGATGGAGGGCTAGTTTTCTTCTCCAGCTTTACGCCTAGTTCTTGAATGAGGGTCTGATGTCCGTGCTGCACAGACAGAAATAACTCGTGAGAGGACGAGGACCGGTTTCCCTGTGGTTCCTCCGAAGATCAAGTCAGTTGATAAACATGAGCTTGAGTAGAGTTTAGAACTATGCGTTCTTATGCTATGTTCATTAGAGATTATCATCTCTCAGATTGGATGGACTAGAAGAGTTAGATTGTTATTTGTTTCTTGTCTTGATTTCATGGGATCCTTTTCTCTCATGGTGAATAACATCCATATATAGCGTGGATGTCCGTGATAGATTGGTCATTTCGGTCATGCAGAATGACGGTGACGAAGCGTGAGCTGGAAGATGAGTCATCTCTCTCTTTACAAGTGTCAGCTAGCGACTGGGAGGGAAGTCATTTCAGCATGGGAGATGGCGTCTCCGCGATATCCGGAAAGTGACTTGTGAGCATGGCAGAGGGCACGCGGGCATGCTGAGTCATCTCTGGCTTTACAGGTGTCGACTGGCGACTAGAGGGGAAGTCACTTCATTATTGGAGAATGTATCTCCGTATTTTCTGGGAAGTGATTGAGCTGACAAGTCATGGAGACTTTTTCAGACCAATATCTGGATAAGACTTGTTCGAGGTGGACTGAGATGTCGACATTTGCTCGGGGGGAGGCTTGAGACCATGGTCGAGTCCTCAACTTAGTCGACAACAGGGAACGTCCCTTAAGTTGTCCCTGAGAAATGCCCAGTGAGTGGTTGATTGCCTTAAATAGGGTTGTCCTTGATGAAAAGATCGACCGACACTGTCTTTCGTGTCGACTTAGGAGTGTCGGCTTGTCCGTCTGAGTGAA